TGCTCAGAATGCATCCAGTGCAAGCACACTAGGTTGCGCTTCAAGAAATTTGTTGGTGGAAAAGCAACCAAGAAGCTGGGAGTTGTGTACACTGATGTTTGTGGTCCTATGCAGGTCATAACTCTAGGAGGGAACAAATACATACTCACATTCATCGATGAATACACACGAAAATTGTGGATGTATTTGCTTGCACGAAAAAGTGACGTTCAAGAAGTGTTTGAAAAGTTTGTCAGGATGGTCGAGAGGCAGAGTGGGGAGAAGTTGAAGGTCTTGCGTAGTGATGGAGGTGGTGAGTATTCATCAATAAACTTCAGCTCATTTTGTGAGAAGGAGGGAATAATTCATGAGAAGACTCCGCCTTATACCCCCAACATAATGGAAGCTACGGAACATATGAATAGGACATTGCTAAACATGATACGAGTGCATGTTGAAGGGAAAGAATGTGCCAAACTAGTTCTGGGGAGAGACAACCGTTACTGCTGCACACATGTTGAACCATGCACCAACAAAACGTCTAGAGGTGACACCAGAAGAAGCCTGGACAGGTGTCAAACCAAGTGTTTCACACTTCAAAATTTTTGGATCCATGTGCTATAAGCATGTGCCAAACCCACTAAGGAGAAAGCTCGATGACAAAGGCACACCGCATGTGTTCATTGGTTATCATGTAACAGGGGGATACAAGTTGTTTGATCCTGCCACGAAACAGGTTTCAATTAGTCGTGATGTTACGTTCAATGAGGCAAGCAGTTGGTCATGGGATCGTGTTGAAAAAGAAGAAAGCACTACAAAAGTGACTTTCAATGAAGAAACTGACTCAGAAGATCAGAATCGAGGTGAAGCGTTCCTTCACGTCTGAGGGACTACGAAATCTTTGATGATTCAGTAGTAACAGCGGATGGGAGCTTGATTCATTTTGCGTTGATTGCAGAGGCAGAACTCGTAGAATTTGAAGAAGCAATGAAGAATCCTCACTGGCTGAGTGCAATGGAAGAAGAGATTAACTTCATCGAGAAGAACTAGACTTGGGAACTTGTCTCACTACCACCTGGTAAGAAGCCCATTGCGCTCAAGTGGGTCTATAAGCTGAAGATGAATCCTAATGGAGAGATTTTGCGCTATAAAGCGAGACTCGTCGCCAAAGGGTTCTTGCAGAGAGCAGGGATAGACTACAGTGAGGTTTATGCACCTGTTGCTCGACTGGAGACGATTAGATCAGTGGTTGGTTTTGCCATAAACTCTAACTGGTCACTACATCAGTTATATGTTAAATCTGCCTTTCTCAATGGTCCACTGGAGGAGGAGGTTTATGTACAGCAACCCAGTGGCTTTGAACATCAGGAGAAGAAAAACAAAGTTTATAAATTGAAGAAGGCTCTATACGAGCTTAAGCAGACACTAAGAGCGTGGAATAAACACATTGACACATTCCTTGAGCAGATTGGGTTCATCAAGTGTAAATCGGAGCACGATGTTTACGTGAAAATGCAGCAGCACAACAATGAGAAAGTCATTATTTGCCTATATGTTGACGATCTCCTGGTCACTGGAAGCACTGAGAAGTTGATCTGTGAGTACAAGCGTGATCTCCTTTCAGAATTTGAAATGACTGATCTGAGAAACTTGAGTTACTTCCTTGGCATAGAGTTCAAGAGAACACCCACTGGGATGTTGCTACATCAGGCGAAGTATGCGAGTGACTTAGTAAAGAGATTTGGGATGCATCAGAGTAACTCTGCAAGCACCCCTACAGAGTCGGGATTGAAGCTTGAGCTAAGTCTTGACGAAGAAAACGTGGATCAAGCGCAATATAGAAGTATCATGGGCAGCCTGAGATACCTTTGCAACACCAGACCAGATCTTAGTTTGAGTGTTGGCTTGATTGAAACTGGGAATCATGCTTGCCAAAGGAGAAAACAAACTGGTTGGGTTCACTGACGCTGATTGGAGTGGTGATAGGGATGATAGAAAGAGTATGGTTGGGTATGTGTTTTTTCTTGGAAGAGCATCAATCTCTTGGAGCTCTACGAAAGAACCCATCGTAGCTCTTTCAAGTTGCGAAGCTGAATATGTTGCAGCATCCAATGCAGCATGCCAAGGAATCTGGTTGACAACACTGATGAGAGAATTGGGAGTTGAACAGGTGCAAAAGATGAAGTTATTGATTGATAATCAATCAGCAATAAGTCTCGTAAAACATCCAGCTCTACATGGTAGGAGTAAACATATAGAACTTAAATATCATTTCATTCGAAAGCAAGTGGCAGCTGGGAAGCTAGAGATTGATTACTACAAATCTGAGGAACAAGTCGCGGATGTTTTAACAAAACCTTTGAAAAATGAAAAATTCAAACATTTCAGAGATAATCTTGGTGTTGTAGATATTTCATTTTATTTTTAATTGGAGGAGGAGTATTGAATAAGTGAAACTAAAAAACTTCTGTTTCAAGTTCAGTTTTCTGTTATCTATTTTTTTATATAAATAATACTTCATGTATCATTCATTTACTTTCTCTTCTCCTGTACTCTTTCCTTTATACGTTCATTATATTCCTTAGTACGTGATAGTATTAATATTAACATATTAGAGTAATAAAAAATAAGTTCGACTTAATATAATGAATTGATTTGAAAAAAAAATTAAATAAAAAATATAGTTTAATAATAAAATACTTTTTGTCTCAGTTTCTCATTATTTGAGTTATCTTATTTAATATATATATATATATATATATATATATTAATTTCTCTTTCAAATTTTTATAAAAAATATAATTAACTTTATTAATATAATCTAAATTTTAAAAATATATACTTCATATTAATATTTTAATTATTTCGTTTTATTTTATAAAATGAGTTAATAATGTGTTGTCTCAAGATTAGATTAAACCTTAAAACTGCTCTGTCTGTGTTTTCAACTAATCCTTATCCAATTAAGTTTGATTTGTTGATCATGTTGTCCATGAATTAAAAAACAAAATACACCAAAAACTACAATGCATTAAATTAATTTAATTATCGTCACTTATAAAAACAAATAAAAAAACTACAGTATTAAAATGTTATTTTATTTTGCAATATTACAATTATTTTATTTTATACACTGGGAAGGAGCAGTGTGTAGTGGAATATGGTTGGTTACCTAGACATGACTTGGTAACAGGTATGTCACTCCTGAAACTAAAGCACCCTTTTTCACTTTCAGGTTCTGAAGCAGTAGCAGCCATATCCACCAACACCATCTCTCATCATTTTTCTTCTCCTGAAATCGCACCTCCTCCATCATCTTCTCCCAAACCTAAACACCCACAACACTTGCTCTCTCTTCTTCTCAAACATCCTTCTCAACCCCAACTTCTGCAACAAATTCACTCTCACATTATCACCTCTGGCCTCTTTCACTACCCTTTTCACAACACCTCCACTTCTTTACTCCTCTTGAACAACGTCATCCGCTGTTACTCCCATGGCCCTTTCCCCCACCAAGCTCTTCACTTCTTTAGATACACCCTGCATTCCCACGCTTTGTTCACATACCCTTCCCTTGACACCTTTTCTTTTGCCTTTCTTTCCCACGCTTCCGCAAATCCAGACTGCACCCACTTTGGGACTCAACTCCACGCTCTCGTTTTCAAGGTTGGGTATCAGTTTCATGTCTATGTGCAAACTGGGCTGTTGCGAATGTACTCAAGCTGGGGTCTTTTAGTTGAAGCTGCACAGGAGTTCTACCAAATGCCGCGCAGAAGCTTAGTTACTTGGAATGTTTTTATTACTGGTTTGATTCAATGGGGAGAGGTTGAACTTGCTTTTTCTGTGTTTAATCAGATGCCTGCTCGGAGTGTTGTGTCATGGACTCTTGTTATTGATGGATACACACGCAGGAATCAGCCCATGAAAGCTTTAACATTGTTTAGGGAAATGATTGAAGTTGATGGTATAGAACCTACTCAAGTTACTCTTTTGACCATTTTTCCTGCTATTGCAAATATTGGGTGTATTAAGATATGTCAATCAGCTCATGGATATGCAGAGAAGAGAGGCTTCAATGCCTTTGATATACGCATTACAAATGCATTAATTGATTTGTATGCGAAGTGTGGATGCATAGCGAGCGTGAATAGATTCTTGCAGGAGTTACCTGATCAGAGGAAGAATTTGGTATCATGGACCTCAGCTATCTCTGGTTTTGCAATGAATGGGATGGGGAAGAAAGCTCTAGAGAGTTTTGAAAGCATGGAGAAGGCTGGGCTTAGACCGAACCGGGTGACTTTCCTTAGTGTTTTGAGTGCTTGTAGTCATGGAGGATTGGTCCAAGAAGGCCTCAATATTTTTGTTAAAATGGTAAAGGATTATCAACTTGTGCCAGATATCAAACACTATGGTTGTGTGATAGATATGCTAGGGAGGGCTGGGAGATTAGAAGAAGCTGAAAAGGTTGCTTCTCGATTACCTCATGAGATTGCAAATGCTGTGTTGTGGAGGACGTTGCTAGGTGCTTGTAGTGTTCATAATAATGTTGAAATTGGTGAGAGGGTGACCAGGAAAATACTAGAGATGGAGAGAGGACACGGTGGGGATTATGTTCTTATGTCCAATATTCTTGTTGGTGTTGGGAGATTTAAGGACGCTCAAAGGTTAAGAGATATGATAGATAAGAGAATTGTCTTTAAACTTCCTGGTTACAGTATAGTCTAACTAATATACTAGTGTCACAGCTGAAAAAGATGATTGTTCTGCCTTTTATTTCTTGGGGATAGGTTGTGAATACGGTAGAAGAACAGTATCCATAGACAGGTCCATTTATCAAGAGGCCTATTGGCTCTATTTGCCATGTCATTGCCATTTGCTTCACACATTCTAAATTAGCTCCAGGCATCAAATTACTTCATACGTCAACGATTATTATTTATACTTGTGTTATTTGAAAAGTGTTAACCTTTGCTATGCTAGCAAAATGATCGACATATATGAGATGATCTATACCAGTATATCTAAACTATTTTCAGGGACTTCATATTGAGTGTCATAATTTTTCTTCCTTCACTCACATTTCTTGAAAACACATTCTTGTCAGACAACCTAACCTGTACAGGGATGACAAAATCCAAGGTCATATCCATCATTGGAACAGTCGTTTCGTGGGCATCACAGCTGATTGCAAACAACTTTGTAGTCATACAAGATTACAAGATTTCTTTTGTAAAGAAAACATCAAATAGAGTAGCTAATGTTGCATTTCGCACTGTCTAGCATCAAATACACCCCCGCCTTTCTAGCACTAATATCAACATTGATGTTATTAAAATTTAAAATATAATAAATTTGATGATGCATTTTTCTGTAAAAGATAAATATATAAATGTAAGAGCTGAATGCTTGGGGAAGATTCAAACTCGGTTTTATACGAATCCAACCCTCCAATTCCATGTTTTAGTTTTGCCGCATATAAAAAATGTTCCATTACGGGAATCAGGCTGACAGATTCCCATATTATACCAACATTTAAAAAATTGGAATTAAATTAATTTGAGTATATTTAATTTTAAAAATAAAAATATTTTTTACTTTTATAAAATATGCTATTTTCCATTAAAAAATATAATATAATTTTTACATATGAAACTTCGATGAACAGGAAATTGTATTTCACATATTACCTTTTACAAAAAACTTACGTGGAAGGATGTTGGCTATTATTGTATAATAACTTTTATGATATCTTTATCAAACTTCAAATTTAGTTAATTTCTTAAGAGTTCAGTGCTTTTGGACGCAATATAAAAATAACATTATACAATAATAAATCAATCTACCGTAGAAACTAGTAAACAAGAAAAGTGTTATTTTCTCTGTACAGATTTTACACCGACAATTCAGTAGGCGGAATGCTATCAAAATAACTAAAATGTTCTTACAAGAACTATTGCATAAATGACTTGGGGGATGTCAAGTTATACAATGTTTCCAACCCACCATATACATAGTATGGCCTTCAGTCAAATATCTCCTGGCTTTCGATTATACTGTGCTGACTGAAAATGTGAGATGGGGAAGTTAGTTAAGATCCGTAAACAGAATTTCTCATGGGATAATGCTTTTGATAGATGTATGTGATACAAGAATGACACGAGGAAACCAAATGAAACAGTAATAGTCATTCTTACAGGTCATCTTTGGCGACACGATAATATCTCTCTGCATGCTGGCGCTGACCAATCAGTTGAGCAAAACGCTCATCGTGAGTGATTACAATTAGTTGAAAATTTTCCTGCCCTTTCCTGTCCTCCATGATCCTGTATTTTTAAGGAAGATAACAGCACATTAAAATGTAATTAATTCATTATTAGTAATTTAATCAGACAGAACTATTCAATCTAGCCATACCTTACGAGAGCTGCAGCCAGACTTTCAGCATTTGGTCCATCCAAATTTGTGGTAGGTTCATCCAGTGCAAGAATTCCACAATTGAGACAAAACGTTTCAGCTAGTGCCAACCGTATGATAAGAGATGCCAGAACCTGGAACCTCGCAATTAATACAAAATTATTGTTTATTATTTTTAATTAATTAAGGGAAGACATAATAGTAATTCCCTCAGTGATAACATACATACCTTCTGACCTGCGCTACATCTTCCTCTCATCTCCAACTCTGCATCACCAGTCTGCATGAGAACCTGTACGGAATGCAAAGAACAATAATTACGTGGAAATTAGACAGTTTTTGAAGGAATTGTTTTTCTATATGATATGTCAAACCTTGTAACTGTATGAACGGGTCCCTGCACCTTCTGAGTCTGAATGAATACTAATGTAGTCGATATCTTGCCCTCTATAAGTTTGCTGCCACAATTCCCTAATAATTTTGTTGATTTCTTCCATTTTCATTGTGTGGAAGCGCATCAATGCCCTGAAAAGATGTATCATAAAGAGACAACACCAAGGAACAAAATTAAATGCAGATCAAGATCAGTAATTTAATACACTAGTATCTAATTTGTTAATAAGTGTATCATTATTGACTAATGCTTGAAATAGACAGTTTACTATGCTTTCATTCCATAATTTGTAATTGTATTCCAGGCATGATAATAATTAGGAGTGTCAATATGAGTTGTAAACCGTGAACCAGTCCAGCTCCCCACGGATTCGAGCCAAGTTATAGTGAGTTGACTCACAACCCATAATTCATTTTAAATTTTAAAAATAATTATAATAATTTAATAACCTTAATTAATGTTATTCTACTTCTTCACCTTTACTCCACACTGTTGCTACAAGCTAAACTTTTACTCAAGTTTATCATCAATTGTCCGCCGCTCTACTACATCACTGTGTTTGTTGTGTTTGTCACATTTCAGTACTGCGTTTCAGTCATTTCACAGGTTTGTCATGTCATCGTGTTAGTGTTTCAGGCTCACGTTTCAGTTGCGTCACCACGTACACTGCACCTCTACCCTCGTCGCACCACTACACCACCGTTCAATAACACCATAATGTTTGTCGTGTTACAGCACTTATCGTATCATCGTGCCATTGTATTTCAGTCCCCACAATTCAGTTGTGCTTATTAGAAATAAATAAATATGGATTAATGAGTCAACCCACCAACTCGTAGTGGGTTGAACCAGGTTATGAAATTTCTAACTCGTTATAAAATGAATCGGGTTGAGCTCGCCTATTCTCAGCTCAACCCATGGTGAGCCAACCCGTGTGAGCCAGGTTAGCTCACTTTGACACCCTTATTAATAATTAGTTTGCAACAAGAATTGAACATAAAAAAAGAGCAAACCAATTTTATGAACTTCATGAAAGATGTGCATTTCTCTGCCTTGACCTAGGCATATAGTCTCTTTGGATTATTTTACTTTTGTATTGTTGGCTGCCCCTTGATAAATTGCATGTTATTTGATAGTTTTCCAGTTTACACGGTTAAGCCCCCATTCAACCAGAGGCAGAATTCATATTGCTTTACAAAGGTAAAAAATGACATGTCATAATGCTACATAAGCAAAGAGCACCAAGTTAATGCCAATCAGAGAAGTGGACCTGGTTGCATCCAATCCAAAAACTATGAACTCGTGTATTGTTATAATTAAAACTAAATATTTAATGGGATTAAATTTCAAATATTAATGCTCAAGGGACCCTAAAACTCAATCTTCTATTTTTCTTGTCGGGAAGAATAATGTATGTGCACTTTGCAGTCCCAAAGCATATATATATATATATATATATATATATATATATATATATATATATATATATATATATATATATATATATATATATATATAACACAGACCCTTGAGAATGTAGCTGCAAATTGAAACATAATGGAATTATAGCAAATAACAAAAATATCCAGTATTTTTACATACCAAAGCTGCCAAGTGAGCTCAGCACCTCCCAATGCAAAAAGTGATTGTTACAATCTTACTTAGGCATTGCAAAGCCATGACTAGCATACAACAAAGAATACAAATTTGATGTAATGTTCAACATTTCTGAATTTTAAGAAACTCACTTGTCAAGTGCATTGTAGTATCTGTCCAGATCCTTGTTGGCCATTTCAGTTGTCTGCCATTAAAGTTGAATTGTCAACAATATAAAACAGAAAATTAAAGAAGAAAGCAATAGACTATGGTATCATATGTGATTACACCTTAAGCTGGATAAGCTGGTCAAAGTATCGCTTATCTATGTCCTTGTATTGAGCCTGCTTAAGATCAACCTTATTTTTGGAAATATTGTTTTGGTAAACAGACATTGTTCCACGGCTTCTGTTTACCTTTCACCGGAGAGAGAAACATGCGTCAGTTCTACACTAGAAGAAATAGTATATAACTGTAGATGATATGAACATATAAATGGTGATTGGCTGAACTATTTAAGATTGCAAGCATAGATGTGTGATTCAGGGATTTGAAATACCTCTGAAAGAAGTCTCTCCCTCTCCTGCGATAGTTTCTGGCGTTCAGTTTCAATTGTGGAGATCCCACCAGCCTTCAATATATTTTCTTCCAGTGTTTCAATTTCATGTGCCAGCTCATCTACTTCAGCCTTTGTTTTCCTATAATTTAAGTTGTCATCAATTTTTCTTCTTAACTGATCTTGATTTTGCATTAAATCTTTACTTTTGACTAGCTCAGCTAAAATTTCCTGTTTCCTGGTATCACAACTTTGAAGTTGAGAATGTGATAGAGAATTCTTTTCCTGCAGTTCCTTCAACCTGTCTCCTTTCTTTAAATCAGAATACCTGATCAAACAAATCATATGTTAAAGAAAGTTGGAGTCTTTAAAACTAACACTTTTAAAGAAGATAAACTTACTCTTTGATCTTAGAATTCATTCTGAAAAGTGATTCAGCTTCTTGCTGATAACTTCTCTTTTGTTCAGCCTGGTCCTCAAACTCACGGTTGAGTCTAATTTTCAGTTCATTATAGTTAGCCAGTAATTTATCTTTCTCCTTGGAAAAAGGTTCAAGAGCATCTGCCAAATGCTGCAAATACACAAATTCTGAGTAATATGATGCATTTTAACATGGCAAAGAGACAAAAAATAAAGAATCTTTTTTAAGTAGCAGTTACAGAGGAAATCAATCAATAAATTTGAAAATTTTGATTATGTTATCATTTTTAAAGTAGCAGCTACAGAGCATTGATTATATTATTATTTTTTTCTCATAGAAAGGGGTCAAAAGGCAATTGCACAAGCCTATAACTCAAAATCAAGTATCCATCAATCTATCAGATAATTAGAAACCTTCTCATCGAGATCAACTTGGGTCTTTTCTTCAGTTAAACGCTCCAATTCTTCTTCTAATCTTTTGACACCTTCCAATATGTTAGTTGCTTTCATTTTCTCCTTCGTTAGATTATGCCACCGTATTCGAATATTTGATAGATCATTCTCCATATGCCTTTGTTCTTCCCTCAACCTCTCCAATTCAGATTGCAAATTGTCCCTGATAACCAAGATATGCATAGAAATAATGATAAGAATAAGAAACAAAACCAAAACTCGTGATAAGAATATGCACTAGGGACTAGGAGATGAAGGCAATATGTACAATTATCCTAATGGATCTAGTTTGTGAAATTGACCGTTTTAGTAAAATAGTATAAATTAACTTCAGCCATTTACTTAGTGCTCTGCAGTGTGTTAAGCTCCAACTGAATCTCTTCCAGAGTCCTCACTCCCTGTCCTCGAAAATCAAGCTTCTCTTCTAAATCCTCAACTTGCCTTTGCAAATCTTGAATTTCTTGGAAAAGTCGATCAGCATTTTCAACAGGTTGCACCAATGTGTCAACCAAATCCCTGTCAGTCTTTACTTGAGCTAAAACACCTAAAACCTGAAATTGCATCCAAAACAAGTTAACAGCAAGAAAAACAGGGGATACAGATAATACTTCATCTGATCCTTAATACAAGGCACTTATAACAGAGTTACACAAACCAATAAAAATAATTATTCAGTTGATTTTCTTGAATTTTTAAAACATTCTCTTATTATTTATTAATAAAAAACACACATTCATAATATTTATAGGGACAAACAAGGACAAAAGATATATTGTTTCGAAGAAATCATAAAATGTCTTAAAAAAGGACAATCAATTTCTTCTAAAATATGCCTCTTGTATTAAGAATAAGAGGAAGTACCAAATAATTGATAAAAAATAATAATCACCATCAGCAAAACAAAAATCTAAGAAACGAACATGTATGCTGGGATTCAACTGTCTACTTAAAAGAAATTTCCAGGAAATATTTTAAAGAAATTATGATTGTTACATCATCAAGAGCCTGAGATTTGTCTTCCATCTCATCTTTAAGTTGCTGAAGTTCCTTTTCAGTATTAGGGATGATCTCCTTGCCAAGTTTAACATATTCTTCATAAACCATCCGAAGCTTGTCCAGCTGCTGATAATGAGACTCTGCATTTGAGGATTCCACAGCAAGAACTTTCATATGTTCAGCTGAACTGGCTGCCTTCACTCTTTGCTGTCATTAAAAAAAGGGCAATTCAAAACTACATTAAAAGCTTGCTCAAAGCCAATAGATAATATCAGTACGTTAAAATAGAATGTAAAATGTACAACCTTCTTGACAAAATTGTCTTCTTCTTCCGGAGAGAAAGGGCGCTCACAGCAAGGGCAAACATGATGAGCTCTAGCAACCCTTTCAAAAGGATCAAACATTTGGCGCATACCATCAGCAATATTATATTTGCTGCAACCAATCAACAGACAAAGTATTAGTTCATTTGAAACCAGCACATCAATGACAACACAACAACACTTTGATATGTCATCATGAATATGCTCTGTCAAAAATTGACCTTCTCTGGACATCTCTTTTCTCCTTGGAAGACTCTAAAACCTTGAGATAAGAATCAAGTCCAGAACATTGCTGATCCAAAGACTGAAGCTTGGATTCAATAAATCTCTTTCTTGCTGTAAAATAAAATCATTTTAATATAAATGGCGCAAAACTTGTGTCTTCAGTTATTCAGCATGGTGGAAGAATGAAAACAAAATAAGGCAAACAAGAAGCAGCATTAAAAAATAAATAATATCAAGTGGGCATCATCAGCTATATCAAAAGACACGTACAAAATGCTGAATACACAAAGGCTCTTTCTATTTATTGCGTACTATTATCATATTATTGATATGCAGAAACCATGTGGCTATCAAAAGCAGTAAAAAATCCATGTGGACATTAGAACCTACAAGCCCAAATAGTACTTTTCATAGATGTTTTGCTTGGTAAAAAACCCAAGGGAGATTATTTCCCAATATCAATTTCTTTATAACTAAAGAAATATCATACATGAAGAAGCATTCAGCAACTTCTTTTGTCCTTGGAAAACTATGTACCTACAGAATGTATAAGGCAAAAACAATCCTAAAACTAAAAATAGACACATTTTCAATTTGATGCATGTGCAGCAATTTTTCAAATAAATTCCCTGTTACAACTTTTAAGTACAATTACCAGATGAAAAATTAGTCTCACATAAATAGGAAGCAAAATATAGCATTGTTGGTCGTATATGTGATACTCATTTTAATTTGATCCCTAAACTTTAATATAACTATAATAGACAGTACTATAATACAAACATAAATGACAAAAATGAAAACTATTCTACATATGAGAATTTAATTAAATTATTTTTTGTATATGGACTAAATTTAAAAGAGTGCCACATATATCGGAAATAATATTTTAAAATAAAAGAAAACATTGTTGACATGGCAACTAGGCAAGCACATCCTATGAACCATTACATGTGCAGAAAAAAAAAACTAAAAACATTGATTTCACTAAAAAACTAAAAAATATTTATACTCAACTTCTTTCAATGATAGATAGCACTTACATTCCAAATCCTTGTGGTGTCTGGATAGGCTACCATTAACTTCTTGTATTTTTATTTGCAACATATTGACTTCCTTCTCAGCATCACGGTACTTTGCATTCAGATCATCAAATTCAGCTCCAACAGCCCTGCTCAAAAATGAAAAAGGTATCAATACAAGGTAATTTCTCATTTACTTGGCATTCTTACCCAAATAAGACTTTTTCACTTATACTTGCAACTCCAAGATATCATAAATCTCATATTGGCAAATCCTCAACTGTACAAGTGAACTTGGTTCTACCAGTTTTGGGCGTGAAAAATGTGTGTCTGTGATCTCACATCAACTATAATATGGCTAGGGGTGTCAATATGGGTTCTAACCCGTGAGTCAACCCGGCTCACCACGGGTTCGAGTCGGGTTGGGTTCAATTTTTTTTATTTCTACTGATTATGGGCTAAAAATGAACTCGACTCACTTAACCCACGGGTTAAACGGGTTCGAGCCGGTTTATGGTGGGTTGGCCCGTAACCCACCATTAATTTTAAATTTTAAAAATAATTATAATTGTTAGATAATATTTAGATATAGTTTGATGTTGTTAAAATATTGTTAGATATTATTAACCACAATATCAAACAATATCTTCTGTTTATTTTGTTTACTTTCGGTTACTCTTTTAGTTGTACCTCTCTATTATAAATAGATTACCCTATGTGTGATTTATACACAAGGGAGATTAATTTCAAACCCTATTTCCTCTATATTCAACATGGTATCTACAGCTTAAGGTTATTTTGAATTTTATTTTATTTTTTCGCCTTTTGTCCACTACTGGAGCCGCCCCACAGCTACTAGAGCCGCCCCACCAATGCTGGTAAACTGATCCTCCACATCAGAAAAGAATTATCTTTGTTACTAAATTTTATTTTGTAGTGTGAAAGTGCATGTCTAGGAAAGTTCTAGCAAGGAAAGACTTGGTATTTAAGTGTGTTCATTAGTGACCCACCTCTCTTTCCTGGGAACTTACCTGGTGTACTGGTTCACGTTGTTGTCACCGCTGCCGCTGGAGCAATCACCGGATCCGCCGCTGCTGGAGAATTCGCCGGAGTTTTATTTTTTTTACCGGTGACATGATTTTGCTTGTCTCGGTCAGGTGACCACTGTGCCGTTGAGATCACCACTATCGGAGTTGGTTGTCCTGCTGTCTCCTGCGCCGTTTAGTCTTGGAGAACTTATTTTTAGTATTCTCATTTTGGATTTGTGCTTCGCGAGTTAATTGGATTACTTTGGATTGTTTTAGGGTTTGTTCTCCCGCTCTTCATGACTTCTTCCACTTCTTCTACTATTTCCAATTTTGTTAACGATTCTTTTGTGTTGACATCCCATCGTGATGACCTCGCAAACAAGGAAAAGGGCGTCTTAAGTGTGAACATTGTGGCAAGCTAGGTCACAAGATTAACAAGTGTTATACATTACATGGTCGTCCTTCTCAATCTGCTGCAGTTGTTCAGACCAATCTTTCCCCACCTTTATCTGCTGGGGATCCTCCTTCTTCTGTTGCATCCGACATGCCTGCTATGTTCAACAAATTTCTCGAATGATATAAGGATCAACAGTCTTCTAGTTCCACTATATCTGTCACACATACAAATACATATTTTGCTGGTCTGATCCAATCATTTTCTCCTGGTCCTTGGGTTTTTGATTCAGGAGTCACTGATCATATTACTGGTAACAAATATTTGTTCTCCTCTTTATCCTCTCCTAATCATTTACCTTCTGTTACACTGGCTGATGGCTCTAGAGTATCATCTCATGGTGTTGGAACGATTAAATTTTTTCCTTTTTTAACCATTGATAATATTTTTTATGTCCCTAGGTCTCCTTTTAACCTGTTGTTCATCAGTCATCTAACTCGTTCTCTTGATTGTGTTGTTACTTTTACCAACAATTCTGTGTTTACAGGACCGGAGTTCGAAACAGGTGATTGGCACAGGATGTGAGTCTTATGGTCTTTATTATCTCCGTCCCTCTACACATGTTAGCACAGTTATGGAGTCTCCCTTTCTTCTTCATGCTCAGTTAGGTCATCCAAGTCTTGTCAAGTTACATAAACTTGTCCCTACCTTGTCCAACTTATCTAGTTTGGCGTGTGAGTCATGTCAATTAGACAAACATAGTCGTACTTCCTTTCCTCGTAGTTTCACACGTGGTGCTTCGTCCCCTTTTGTCGTGGTTCACTCTGACATTTTGGGACCTAGCCGCGTTAAGTCTACTTTAGGTTTTCAATACTTTGTTACTTTCATTGATGATTATTCTAGATGCACTTGATTATTTTTGATGAAAAATCGTTCTGAATTATTTCATATCTTTCAAACTTTTTTTAATGAAATTCATACTCAGTTCAGTGTTTCTATTAAAGTTTTGCGTAGTGATAATGACCGTGAATATCTTTCTCATTCTTTTAAACAATTCATGGCTTCTCACGGTATTTTGCATCAAACTTCTTGTACTTATACACTTTAACAAAATGGTGTAGCTAAACGTAAAAATAGACATCTTATTGAAACAGCTCGCACACTTTTAATTCATGGAGATGTTCCTCAACATTATTGGAGTGATGCTCTTCTTACTGCATGTTATCTCATTAATCGCATGCCTTCTTCGGTTTTAAATAATAAAATACTTCATTCCATTTTATTCCCTCATGAACCACTTCATCCTTTATCTCTGAGAGTTTTCGGGTCTACATGTTTTGTTCATAATTTCAGTTCTAGTCTTGACAAGCTTTCTCCTAGATCACATAAATGTGTTATCTTAGGGTTTACAAGATCACAAAAAGGATACAAATGTTTTTCTCCTTCTCTTAACCGTTATTTTGTGTCAAAAGATGTCACCTTTAATGAGTTGTCTCTTTATTTTAAAAGTCAATCTTCACCTCTGTCTCCATCCAATCTTGTCAACACTCATAATACATTTACTGTTCCTGTTGTTTGTGACTCTCTAACTGTGTCTTCTTCACCATTAGTTCCTGCTCCGCAATCAGCTTCTTCTCCACTGCCTCTTCAGATTTATAGTTCTCGAAATCAATCACAACCACCACCATGTGACTCCACTCAAGTGCCAACTACTCTGTCTCCTCCGGATCTGACACATGAGTCTGACCTTCCCATTGCACTCCGAAAAGGTATTCGTTCTACACGTAATCCCTCTCCCCATTATATTGCTTTGAGTTATCATTGACTGTCATTACCTTTTTATACATGTCTTTCCTTTATTTCTTCTGTGACAATTCCAAAAACTGTCCGTGAAGCTTTAACCCATCCTGGTTGGTGTCACGCCATGTTAGATGAACTAAGTGCTCTTCATAATAGTGGAACTTGAGAATTGGTCCCGTTATCGTCTGGGAAATCTTTTGTTGGTTGCAGGTGGGTGTTTGCTATCAAAGTTAGACCTGATGGTACTATTGATCGCCTCAAAGCTCGTCTTGTGGCCAAAGGTTATAATCATAATTTTGGGTTGGATTATGGAGATATCTTTTCCTCTGTGACAAAGATGACTTCTGTTCGTTTATTTATCACCATGGCTGCTCTTCAACAATGGTCTCTTTATCAACTGGATGTTAAAAATGTTTTCCTCAATGGTGATTTGCAAGAAGAAATATATATGGAGCAATCTCCTGGGTTTGTTACTCAGGGGAGTCTTCTGGGATGGTATGTCGTCTTCGCAAATCCCTATATGGCCTAAAACAGTCTCCTAGGGCTTGGTTTGGAAAGTTTAGCAAGGTTGTTCAACAATTTGGTATGACTCGGTGTGAAGCAGATCATTCTGTCTTTTATCGACACTCGAGTATTGGATGTGTTTATTTGATAGTATATGTTGATGACATCGTTCTTACAGGTAGTGACAACCATGACATCTCTCAGTTGAAACAACATCTCTGTCACCATTTTCAGACCAAAGATCTTGGCAAACTTAGATATTTCTTGGGTATTGAGGTGGCACAGTCCAATGATGGTATTGTTATATCTCAGAGAAAGTATGCCATAGATATTTTGGAGGAAACTGGGTTGATGAGTTCAAAGTCTGTTGATACACCCATGGATCTCAATACTAAACTTCTACCAAATCAGGGGGAGCCTATATCTAATCTTAAGCAGTATAGAAGATTGGTTGAAAAATTGAATTATCTTACAGTTACTCGTCCTGACATTTCCTTTGCAGTCAGTGTGGTAAGTCAATTTCTTAATTCACCATGTGAAGATCATTGGAATGCGATCATTCGTATCTTGAAATATATTAAAGGATCTCCTGGAAAAGGATTGTTATATGGTTCTAATAACCATACAAGAGTTGTTTGCTACTCGAGATGCTGATTAGGCGGGATCTCCTTCGCATAGAAGATCTACATCTGGATATTGTGTCTCCATTGGTGGTAACTTGATCTCATGGAAAAGTAAGAAACAAAGTGTTGTGGCAAGATCCAGTGCAGAAGCAGAATATAGAACTATGGCCTCAACTGCCTGTGAACTTGTTTGGCTCAAGCAATTGCTTAGAGAGTTACAATTTGGAGATGTCACTCAAATGACACTTGTGTGTGACAATCAGGCTGCTCTTCATATTAGTTCTAATCCTGTCTTTCATGAGAGGACCAAACACATTGAGATTGACTGTCATTTCATTCGAGAAAAGATTATGTCTGGAGATATCAAGACTGAGTTTGTTAACTCAAGTGATCAGTTAGCAGATATTTTCACTAAGTCTTTACGAGGGCCTAGAATTGATTATATTTGTAACAAGCTTGGCACATACGATTTGTATGCTCCGAGCTTGAGGGGAGTGTTAGATATTGTTTATATATAGTTTGATATTGTTAAGATATTGTTAGATATTGTTAACCACAATATCAAACAATATCTTCTGTTTATTTTGTTTACTTTCGGTTACTCTTTTAGTTGTACCTCTCTATTATAAATAGATTACCCTATGTGTGATTTATACACAAGGAATATTAATTTCAGACCTTATTTCCTCTATATTCAACAATAATAATATACTAACCCTAATTAATCATTTATTTTAAATTTTAAAAATAATTATAATACTTTAGTAACCCTAATTGATATTATCCTGTCTTACCTCTACCCTACATTGTTGGTTGTCGCTACAAGCCAAACCCTCACTTAAACTTGTTATCAGTTGTTCCACTATGTTTGCTGCTGCACTTAGGTCACTTGTCTTATTATCTGTCCACCGCACCACTACACCATGTCCACTGTATTGCTTTCAAAGATAAGAATTTGTTTCATAACCTAAACTATTGGATTGATGATTCTTTATTTGAAAATTGTAGCATCTATACATTATTTGTTGTTTGTTATTGATTTATACGTATATCTCTTTAATATATAAATTTTTTACTTCTTTCTTTTAAATTAATTTGCGAGTATGAAATCGAAACAATACATCAAAATGTCAATGTAAATTATATTGGTGATGATTTTATTATTAATGAAAAACCCAATGAGCCAATTTCAATTAATAACGAAGATAATGATGTTGAGAAAAAAAGGAAAAAAGCGTAAGTTTCTACATCCGAAGTTTCTATATAATTTTAAAAATTAAAAAAATATGGGTTAGTGAGTCAACTCACTGACCCGTGGTGGGTTGAACCGGATTGTAAAATTTCTGGCTCACCAAAAAGTGAGTCGGGTTGAGCTCATCTATTTTCAGCTCAACCCGTGGTGAGCCAACCCATGTGAGCCGGGTTGGCTCACTTTGACACCCCTAAATATGGCCAACATAGAGCTTATAAAAGGTTTGGACACTTACCTTACACATTGTGGGATCTAGTTAAATTCAAGAGATCGTACCTACAACTACAAGATGAAAAAAAAAAAATTCCCAAACCTTAATGCTTGTGTAATTTCTTTTTTCACATCCTTATCAAGAGGAACCCTCCCTTTTAGCACCTTTCTAATTTTGTCCTTTTGGTCATCAAATCTGTAAAGAAGAATGAACAGATGATTTCCGACTTCTAAGTATATAATTCTAAAAAGCGAAAAGCTGAAAGATAAAAATAAAATGGATCTACATCTTTTTATGTTTCTTCTTCCGATTTTCCAACTCTGCTTTCTTGTGAGATAGCATAACTCTGTCCTCTGAATCAGAAGCCATGATATCCTTCTCACGATTGACAGCTCTAATCTTTTGATCTATACTATATATCTCATTTTGCACTTGACGTATATTTGGTTCAAATTGTCTTTGAGAGAGTTGGCTTTCCTTCCTCTCAATCTCATTTCTCTGCAAGCATTACTCAAAATTATGCTAATCATATATGTCAGATGTAAAAAATTAAGGATATAGATTACTTAACAACAAAAATAGAGGTGCCCCTACCAAATTTTTTTCTCTTTCGTCTATGTGAGAGAAATTCAGATTCGTCATTTGAAGTTCAAATGAATCGAGCTCATTTTTCTTCTCTTCGATGCGCTTCAAAATGCCACCCTGCAAGCATGAGAACCTATTAACATTGTGCAAGATAGAAAAATTTGACAAGAAATGTATGCATTTGAATGAAACACAAAACCTTGATCCCTTGCATAGCCTTTATTTTAGCCTCAGTATCTTTCCAACAGTCATTAGCATTCATGTAGCGATCCCATGCCATCTCAAGCTCGTTGTCATTTACTTTCTGAACAAAAGAAGCAAGAAATCAGTCAATAATCATGTTGTTTTCTTACTTTCCATATAGTTAAAATAAGTTTACAATTTGGAAAATTTAGCCAAGCACATTTTGTTAAAAAGAAAACAAATTCACTGAAGAGTGAACGAAAGAAAGAAAGAGGTACAGGAGCATAGACACAATATTCTTCCTTAAGGAAAAACCTATAAAAAAAAGGGTAAAAATCAAGTGTGCAAAGCATTCCAATTCTACACATATCCAGCAAACAAACCCAATACAATACTGCGACCTTAATGCACAAAGAAAACAAAAAGATCCTTTATCCCAAATATCAAGTAACAGCAAGAAATCATCCTTGAAAATTCCTCCACTTCTCATTTGTGAGGCATTTAAAAGTGAAACACACTCATAAACCAGAAAGAGAGAACAGAAAAGTCACCTTTTTATCATCCAGATCCTTCTCGAGATCTGCCAACCTGGATTTTACACGACTAGTGAGATTTAAAGCAACCTCGACACTGAAAGGCGACATTGGAAGTGGTCCCAAACTATATGTGGCAAAAAGACTGTGAATGGAGGAATCACGGTCATTCTTCAAAGACATGTGGGCCTGAAGTTCAAATTAGAAACAAAATTACAATAACACTCTCCAAAACTAGATGTCAGTATAGGCAGCTTGTGTATCAAATTCATTTACTTCTGCTTCAGCTTGTAGTTTGGCAATCTCTTTGTTGGATTGACCAATGATATTCATGAGGGCGGTACCTTTCTCAGCAAGGTCGGTCATTTCTCTTTCCAACTTTCTTATTTTCGCTTCTAAAATTGCAATCCTTTCTTCAAACTTGGTCTTCCATTCCATCAATAATTCATCAGAATCTAATTAAATATAATATGCAGAAAAGGAAAAAGCATTAGAAACTTACATATATATTAAACAGGGCATATCTGTGTAAATCCATTAGGAAATACAACAATATAGAAGAGGCCGAAAAATTCAAAACTGGCTCAATGATGGTAATATGTCTACCATGTTCAAGACTTGCATACCTACATTCTCCTCCACAAGAGCTGCATGTTGTTTCTCTTGTTCCTTAAGCAGGGTGCTTCGTTGAGCAGTTTTAGTTGATATCTGCTCTTGCAGCTTCCGCAAATCCTTCAATGTTTCCTCTGCATGATGAATTTTATCCTCCAATTGTTTAATGCTCTCTTCCAACTGCTGTACTTGACCTTTCACTGACTCTGTTTTCTCTTGATCCTGTGCAATGCTTTCCCGTAGCTATAACAAAATAAAATTAAATAATTAAATTTTATTTTTCTTTCTATTTTGGCACATTGTGGCTTTCTTGATGATTATAACGGTCAAAGATGAAGGATTATTAGAATATCATATTAATGGTTTTTTTGAGAAAACAAGAGAAAAATATCATATTAATGGGAAGAAAGGCTATTAGACAAGTAGTAAAAATGTGTTGCCATTAAAGTAGAACAAAAGAGTATATGTTTTCAAACGCTTTAGCCGATCGCTTTTACTTAATTTAGAGAAGGCAAGAGAAAAGAGTGGTTTTGTAGCGTTGATGATTTGTAGGATAAAGAGGGAATGAGAAAACTTATTTTTTTCCTTATTATTTATTATTTGTAGAGTTGCGTGATATTTTGGAAGAGGAAAGAGACCTTATAAGCAGCATCTTTGAGAGTTTGAAGATGTTCGAGTTTGAGCTTGTAAGTCTTTATCTCTTGAGCCTGCTCCTTATGAAGTTTCTTTATAACTTCCAACGCCTTGGTGTATCTGTAAAGTAAGAATCATATATGCATAATTCTGTAGAGTGAGTAAGAATCATATATGCATAATCTATAATGAGTGAATGAAAAAAGCAACAGCGGGGAGAGAGTAAGGAAATGGAAGGAGAGATACCGAGTTGCGGAAAATATATCGTCAAACTTCTTCTTTAAGGTGGAAGGATCCTGTAGGGGCCAGTTAGCTTCGTCCTGGTGAACGAATATAACATTTTCGAGAATGGCCTTGGAAACACCCATGAGGGCAGGAATCTCTCGATCCATGTCAGCGCATCGATAGCTGAGGCAAACTTTCTAACAGAGGAGAAGAGAAGAGGGTTAATGGGAAGAGAGTGAAGAAGAAGAAGAAAGTGAACGAGTAAGGCACCTCTCCCGTGTGAGGATTGATGGTTTGAAGCACACTCTCGATAGCCTTGTATTCCATTTTGGATGCCTTCTGCGTAAGCTGAAAGGACCTCACACAGACGACATCTTTACCGGCGGCCGTCTTGAATCGGAGCTTTATCTGTCCCTTCGTTTCGGTTTCCCCCGCCACCTTCCCAAATAAAAAGCATAATTGATTAGTTGATCAATTGAAAAGAGAGTGGGAGTTAGGGTAGGGTAAGTTACCTTGGGGTCGTGAATGAAGCTGTGACCAGACCTGGCGTTGGGAGGCAACTCGCCGGTGCAGGAAAGCTTCAAGCACTCAATGATGGTCTGCAAAAGGAGAAGAGATTGAGTTGTGGAAATGAAAAGAGAAGGAGAAAGAGAAATGATTGAATGGATGGATCATACGGTCTTGCCAGCACCGTTGGGACCAACGATTAGGGTTAAGGGCTTGAAGAAGGTGATGACGTTCTTGTTCTCCGGGTCGAAACTCCGGATTCCCTTGATCAACATCTTATCAACAGTACTCATCTCTACTCTCACTCACTCACTCACTCACTCTCCTCTGTTCTCCTCATCCCCCGCCAACTCCCTCTCTGCATGCACCTCCCTCCCCCATTTCAATTCAATTTATCACTTTTGGGCTTGGTTGGGCTGACCCCCTTCACCGACCCTGGCTTCCGATAATTTATTTCATTTGTACCCCTCTTTTTTCTTTCTATACACCCTTTTAACACACACGTATGCAAAATTCACCATGACCAAGATGTTCAAGGTATGATGATGTTCATAATATAAACAACGGATCATTTCATGTACCAGCCCCTGCATAATTTGTGTAATGTTGATTTGCACGATAAATAAAACAAAATACAAATACATTTCAGACACATTTTCAATGTTTATACAATATTTTTTTGTGAGCTAGGCATGATTCAGGAAGACAATTGGCCATATTGCAATTAACCTCAAATAATTTATGATTCATAATTTATACTCATGACGCCAATTGGCCATGTATCGTAAACTCGTTATTTATACTTTATAAATTATACTTAACTAATTCAAGTTTATTTAGTCATACTATTCTTCTTGTCGCCATTTATATATTGATGAGATATTATCCACATTATTCTAATATAATATTTTTCTAATAAAGAAAATACACTAATAGATTAATTAATTCATCAATGATATTTTGATTTAATTAAAAAAATAAGAATTTCACATGATTAAGATATTAAATAATATTAATACGGATATAATTTATTAATTTTTTAATACTAAGTGAAGTGTGCTGATAGATTTGAATAGTGAATCATGGTAAATACTACCTTGTTTTTTTGTTAGGTTTCAAATAATTTAAACAGGAATAACAATTAAACTCGTACCTGTGGGGATCGATCCGTTCCTTTCCGAGTTTGACAAGGAAAACCTGAGTTGACCGGGAGTGGATTCGAGTTTTTCCCGCTTTAAAAAGTTGGGGCGGGGCGGGGATAGGTAATGCAATCTCCACCCCAACCCCAACCCCGTCCTCGTCTCAAATTTATATTTAAATTTAAAATTTAAAATATTAATATTTAAAAAATATTTTTTTCTTTTTCTATTATATATAACGTCATTTTTTTATATTTCATCATTTTTATTTTTCTTCTACCCACTTTTTAATTTTTTTATCTTTATTAATCTTTTATATTAATTAATTTATTATATTATTCTCTCTTACCTATCAGTTTTTCTTATTTCCTTAATCTCTCCCATCAATTTTTTTTTCAATCTTTTCAACCAATTTGATAAATACAAAGTTTTTTTTCTTTATCTTTTTCTAAATATTTTACAAAAATTTTAGTTGTAACTAGTATTTTTTTATTTATAATTTATATTTATTAGGTTTTATTATGTTATATTTTTTTATCTTATTATTCTTATTTATTATATTAGCCAACCACTCAAGGGTATTTGGAGACCACCAGGAAATTGGCATCCAGCTTGCGCTTTTGCACCTCCTCCTTTATCATTAAGGACCACCCGCTTCAACTCCCATTCTTCGTAGCTTTTGCTTTACACGTCGGAACCCCTCTTCTAGCGGCAACCTGGAGTTCCATTATGACTCGCGTTCAGCCCAGGCATGTCATGATATGACCAAGCAAATACATCCACATATTCCCTCAGCAGTCGCTATTAATTTCTTTTTCATGCCACTTTCCATTTGGGTGCCGATGTCCACCCTCCCTCTCTCATCCTCTTTTC